GCCTCTGCCCTTCTCCAGCCTCCTCCGGAGCCACACTTCCACTCCCTGTCAGCTGTTCCTCCTCTTCCTCAGAGTCAGTCTCCACCAGGGGCATGACACCTTCTGACCATCATAGACAATGGGAAAGCTGATTCACTTAACAATCATTTTACTAACTTAACAACTGCAGTGATCCACATAACAGCTGTGGTAAGAAAATTTATAAAATGGGGCAAAACTCACTTAACAAAAGTCTTAGCAGCAGAAATTTTGAACTCATGTGGTTGTAAGGCATTGACTATCTATATAGACTTAAACTAAGGGTTGAATTTTAAATGCTTTTTATACCCACAGAAGAAGTTGGAAGTCATTTTTATTTGTTTATTTTGTTTTTCTTTCATGGAGCTTTTTTTGGACTTCTCTCTCTCCCTCTTATTCATCTTTCTTTCTATTTGTTAGCTTTTGTTAGTTTTTATTTGTATATTTTCTGAAAAAAATACAAATATGAAAATGTGATAAAAGGTATTGAGTAAAACACATGATGGTAAAATCACCATCCAATTCTTTTGACTTCACACTTCCCAGGGGTCTTTAAATGCATCAGAGAAATGGTGGCAAGGCAACTAGAAAACCTATGGATGATTTTTATTACTTTTATTCTGCATTTTTTATAATAATATAGTTTCACTTCACAGTACGCACTCAGTTTTATTCCGTCTATCAGAATAAATTCACACATGTGTATGCACTGAAAAGTATGGAAGAAGGCATTCACCATTTATTTTGTTTCAGGTTTGGGATGGAGGAATTGAAGTGATTTCTTTTTATTCCACTTTGTGAAGCATAATACTGACTGGATAATTCACTATTATTTATCTGTTTCTTGGATTTAGAAAGCTGTTCAGCTCTGAAATGACTGTGGGTATCCTATATAGTTAAAAACAAAAAATAAAATAAAAAAGACATGATATAACAAAGAAAAAATGTGTTGTTAGACTTAGATTTTATTGTCACTTTGAATGTACTCTAATTGGCATACATTAATATGAAATTTTGTTGCCTGTAGCTCTCAAAGGGTCACCACCTCCAATATTCACTACATAAACATGACAAAATAAATAAATACAAAATTATGCATATACCTACATATATTGTATGACACAAAGAAACAACACGATCTAATTTGCATGTATACATGTACATGGCAAGAAAAATGAATATTGCGTTTACCAGATGCATATGGAACAAAGCTGTTATAGAATCTTGTAGTCCTGCTAGAAATACTTTGAAACCTCCTCACAGAGGGGAGCAACAGAAACAGACCGTAAAGTGGGTGTGTGAGGTCTCTAACAATGCTTTGAGCTCTAAGCACATAGTGCTTATAAGCAGTATCCCGAATAACAGGAAACGAGTTTCCTATAATCTTCTCAGCTGTCCTTACTACTCTCTGTATGGAGGCACTGCTGCCACCAAATCAAACCGGAATGCAATTTGTTAAAACGCACACAGTTGTGCCTCTGTAAAAAGTGGCCAGGACAGAAGGAGAAAGATGTGCTTTCCTCATCTGATGCATGAAATGCAGGTGCTGCTTTCCACGCTTCACTAAGGATGACGTGTGAAGAGACCAATTCAGATTGTTAATTATTTGCACCCCAAGATACTTAATACTGTTGACCACTTCTACAGCTACATCCTTGATACTGAGTGGAATATGACTATACTGGCTCTGTCTAAAATCTACAATGATCTTTGTTTTATTAACATTTAGAACTAGGTTACTTTTATTGCACCAGTTCACCAGAACCTTCACCTCTTCCCTATAACCATCTTCATTGTTGTCCCGGATAAGACCCGCCACTGCTGTATCATCTGCATACTTCACAATATGATTTGTAGCAGATTTGCACACTAGTTGTGGGTCATCAAGGTGAACAGTAGTGGATTCAAGACACAGCCTGACAGAAACCTGTACTCAAGGAGATGGAATTGGAAACTTTTCTTCCAACTTGCACACATTGGGGCCTATCAATAATGCTTTTCACATTCCCCTACTGGTTAGCCATAGATAAAGCAAAAAAAAAAAAAATGTTGATTTTGAAAACAGACAGCTGTGGATCAAATTCAGTTTTCCCCCCAGGGTTGGGGATGAAAACACTGGTAGAGAGGAATACATGAAAATTCTGTCAATTGGTTTTATAAGTTCTCTGCAAAAGAGGCTTTGATTTAGCTTCTTCATTCCCAGGATGTTTAAGAATTTGTTTTTGTGCCTAATTTATTTTCTCAAGGGGGCAGAGGGTGCAGAGGTTTTCATTTTTTTTCTGCTATATGTACTGCTATTCCTTTGCACTCATATGACGAGCTTGCAAAAGTTACCTTACCTTTTTTTTTGGGGGGGGGGGGGGGGGAATCAGGGAGATTTGGAATGGGACAACTTAATTTGACCAATTAGCCACAGGCCAACTCGCCATAGCCAACTTACCATAGGACAACTCGCCATGGCCAACTCACTGCAGGACAACTCAATTTAACAACAATTCAATTTAAATAATTTAAATATTATTTTAATTTTTGTCATTCACATTTCATTTTGTCTCCCCTTTTGCATTCTTTCTTTGATTATTCTATTCCACCATTTCTTTGACATTAGTGTGATGCTTGTTCTGTGGCAAGTTGGCCATGGTGAGTTGTCCTACAGTGAGTTGGCTACAACAAGTTGACTGTGGCCAATTGGTAGCAGTGAGTTGGCCGTGGTGAGTTGCCCACACTGAGTTGTCTCATGGTGCTGGTTTTTTTTATGAATGTTAGAGGATTTTGATCAGAAAAAAGAACAATCTCCCAGGTTTTGCCTTTGATAGCATGGGTTGGTATTTGTCTAAGTGCTGATTTTAGATATGAGAAGGCTCAGTCTGAATCCAGGATCTAAGACAAGTTTAATTGCCATCAAAATGAGGCTAGTATTTGACTGCATTTAGCTCTGCTTGGATTAAATATGAAGCACAGAAGAATCTTCATTACGACCACTACAAGCCCATAAGGCATAAGAAGGAACAATATTTATAGCTATGACTCATAGTGATTTCCAAACTGCTCTCATGACAATTTCTAATTGTGATATCCAACCACTTTTCTCCAAATCGCCCAAGGCTTTTAGCAGTCTAAAACTCTCCATAGTCCTGACTGTGTCAGCTGTAATCTGTGAGGCAGCTACCCACATAAGACTCTTTAAACTGAATAAGGTGAAATAGCTTCATTCATGAAAAGTAGACTGTTTTCCCCAATGCTCCTTTGGAAATTATGAATCTCATCACCATCAATGCTTCAGCCTATTTAATTTAACAATGGTGTCTCCTTTTATTTACAAACCAATCTGATGCCAACCACAGGTGATCTATATATCTCTGTTTAATTTTTGGGTAGAGCAGAAGAACTGCTGGATTGAAAATGAATGCCCTGCAGAATATCATAATGAATCATAATTATATTTAATAAAAATACACATCACAGACTAGGGACGGTAATGTGAAGGATAATAATGTGGATGACAATGTCCTTTATATCTACTAGTTAGTCCTAAAGCTGATTAAACATAATATGACATGACCAAAATTTGGACCAGAATTTTCATTGCTATGCAAAGCAATTCTTAAATGAATTAAATGAGTTGCACCTGATTTTTAACCCCCCCCCCCCCATGGTTGTTAGGCAAATCACTGTAGTTTTTAAATGAAATGTGCCACATTAAGCTTCTTAATATGCTTATTGGAACCCAACTGGGAAGGTTGAAAACAATGATCTTATGTTCCTGGGACATGACACACATAATATACATGCCAGTTGCCAAGTGCCCAAATTTTGATCACATAACTGAAGATGTTGCAATGGTCATAAGTGCGAGGACCAGTCAGAAGTCACTTTTTCAATGCTGTTGTAACTTCAAATGCTTGCTCAACAAATGGTTGTAAATTGAGAACCTTCGGAATATGTTATGTATTTGCTAAATGGCAGTGTAATATTTTAAAAATAGTCTTCAAAGTGCATAATTAAAACAATATTGATTTTTTATCAGTCACATCTTAGACAAAAACTACTTTATATTGTAGAGTAATGTGCATTGTTTTAATCTACCCCACAGATTTTAAGCTACCCCATCAATTCATAGTTTGCTTACTGAAAGATAGAAAATAAACATTGCAATAAAGAAACAACTTAGGCAAATGCATTAAAAAAAACAACAGAATTTTCCTCTCTGGGTTCTCAAAACCTCAGGAAATTTCCCATTAAAACTGAGCATCTCACCCTGCAATTGAATTATAGTTGGGTTCTTCAGAATTTAGCATTAATTAGAGTGGAAACTCCAGCTACCAGAATTAATTTTTTGGGCACATCTTTTGACTGTTTTTGTATGTTGTCATTACATCTGTTTGGAAAGTAAATCAGAATAAGAGAAAGGTTTATGAAAAAATACAAGCATACATTCTAAGCCAGACACTGGCACACTTCTGACATCTAATGGCAGTATCAAAACTGGTATCCATAACAACATTGCATATGCATATTGTATTTTGACATGGCTGTGTAAGATTACAAATACAGCAGAATGGCTTAGGTTTTTGAAATGCTTGAGTTCTTTCTTTTTTGCTGTTCTGTGGAAGTGTACGTTTAACTGATACATGAAAATAAAAATAAAAAACAGTATTAGATATATTTAGTATTAGATATATGTTAACTTTTCTTCTATTTGACTTTTCTTCTATTTCTTTGCATTTTCTTCTGTTTTCTGTTTGCTCCAGGAAAAATGCCAAGAGCAATTTGAGTTGAACAGTAAATAAAGTTCTGCCAATCAATCAATAAATACATTTTATTTCTTTAAATTAAAAAGTGAACAATCTCCATTGCTAACGCTATACTATTAAATGCATGAACTTTTAAAAGTGTACAGTTACTTAAGCCTTTCTTAAAACAACAAAAACCAAAACAGTGTTGTAATAGAAGATAGTAAGATTTGTTTTACCATTTGGTAGATATTCTTTGGATCGCCACACAGATTTCGACAGAATATTCAACATCTACTCAGGAAATGGTTCCATATTTGTTTCTAAGAGCATTGATCGAGAAGCGGCCCCATGGCATAACCTCACTGTTGTTGCAACTGAAATTAGTAAGTTGTATGTACACTACAAAGTTTGAAAGGAAGAGAAGGAAATCTTATGTTGAATGCTGAAATTTTATCCATGCATTATTATTTATGTGATCTATGACTTTATACCCAGCAATCAAATGTATGTTCTACTATTTTTGCTTACACAACATGACACCCAATGTGATTATACTTACAGGTTTTTTCGAATTCATTTACAATACAATATGTATTATTAGTGCATTTTAAATGCTAATGAAGATGGAAAATAAATATTTTCAAGGCTACCAAATATGGGTTTCAAAAATCCAAGCTGCAACTAGATGGCAGTCCAGACCTATGGAAAACAAATCCTTGCATACTTTTTTCTTCAAGACATGCTAGATTTGTTTGTTTTGTTAGTTTTCCAGCATTTGTTAATAATCCTGAAAATGATTTTTTTAAAAAAGATAAGGAAAGTAAGAATACATGATATAGCCGTAAAATCTAGTGAGAAAATAGGTAATAGTTTTAAACTAGCTTGAAATTGCTTTAACAGGCCTTTTACTGGTCAGTGCTCAATAGAGAACACATAACTATTTTGCTTGACCAAGTTATTGTGGCAAACATGGTGAGCAATTTTGCATGGTTTCTCAACACTTTACCAGAATGTTCCACCTATTGGTTTTAAATTGAACAGACAGTTTGTCTGACTTATTATAAACAACTGCCCACAGTTTCAAGGTGGAACTTTGATCATCTGAATTGAAAATACTGAAAACTGAACCTGCAATTTTTCTGTAGAGGTTCTTAGTCATCCAAGTCATGGTTGTTCCAAAGATGCTTTTTCAGGAGGCAACTTCTTGTTTTTTTCTCTGAAGATGTTTCACTTCTCATCCAAGAAGCTTCTTCAGCTCTGACAGGACAGTGGAGAATGGAAGGGTTTATATTCCTTGAAGACAGTTGGTCTTTTACATCCTTTTAGAAGGTTGTTGAAGCACTTGGAGGTTTATCTGTGTCCCCAGGGTCACCTGAGTAGTGCTCCTGGTTTCTGTAGTCTGCAATCCCCCCTCCCAGAAATCCATTCCTACTCCCAAACCATTCCAAGGGTGTTCATCCCAAATTGTATAGCTAAAAGTCTGTAGAGATTCTCAGTCATCCAGATCATGGAAGGATTCCATTCCCCACTATCCTGTCAGAGCTGAAGAAGCTTCTTGGATGAGAAGCAAAACATCTTTAAAGAAAAAACAAGAAAGGCTCCAGAAAAAGCACCTTTGAGAAAGTGATTTTTTTCCTTGCAAAGTACATCTGTCATGGTGAGCACTAGATCTTCTCTTGCATTTTTGCATGAAAGTTAATAGGCTCTCTCTAGTCTATGAGAGTACAAACTTGGGACTGCTGCAATTAGACAGAATTTCTAAAAAGTGATGACAAGGCCTAGTCCCTGTACAAATTTATTTGGAAGAGAATCCTATATACTCAATGGGAAAGTGTATTGGGTTTCAGTTTTGATATGAAATGTTAATATTGCTGTGTATTACTGTATTAAATTTCTATATTGCCACAATCAAAACAGTTTGGCTGGGATAACTTTAGAAATGTCTTGATTGCTTAGAACCCTTGACAGCCAAGGCCAAAATAAAGACTTTATTATCTTTAGTCCTACCTACACTAAAAAAAAATGCACTTGGTAAGACGTTCAGTTGAAAACAGAAAGGTCTGAATTTAGATATATAGGATTGCACTGAATCTATATACTCTCTCCTTCTGCCAAAGAAATATTTTGAAGTCCCACAGGCAAATGTAGCAAATGGAGCTTTTGACAAAATGACAGAACAACATTATGATATCACAATGCAAGCTCTGCCCCTACCTACTTGCATGAAACTCATGATTTAAGAAAAATGGAGTTTGTGTCAATATGTCATGAGGTATATTTCATATTTCATTATTTACTCCTCTGTGGCCATGAAAGTGCTCCTAATTCTTGGAATACATTTTATTAAATTTTGCTATTATATTATTTCAGAATGACATTTCTAAAGTGTACTTTGAGAGGTGCCATGCTTACAACATAGGCACTGACATTTATTCTTGAATCTCGGGAAAAGAAGTGATACAATATTGTGATCAAATTCCATCTTGTCCATTTTGTTTCAGGCAATCCAAAACAAAGTACTCAGACTCCCATCTTCATTCGGATTTTGGATATAAATGATCATGCCCCAGAGTTTGCCAAGTTCTATGAAACTTTTGTTTGCGAGAATGCAAAAGCAGGACAGGTAATACAGCAAATATTATCATGTCTGATTAACTGCATTTTTCTCTGTCTCAATTATAAAAATGAATTTATTATTTTTTTAAAAATACGCTATATTTCAGTAGTCTTAACAGTAACTTTGCTTCACCAAAGTTCTGAATAAAAGAAAGCAGATGTGGTTCCCATGCTATTGATTGATTTGATTTTATGGCAATACATAACAGCTTTCAGAAGTTAACAGTAATATAAACATGTGTATAGAATTATGTGTGTCCTTATCAATAAAAAATTTAATAATTTAAAGTTCAAGAACAGAATCATAAACTAAACACCATCATACTAATTTCCAAGCATGTTACACAAACGTTCTGCTTTAGTCAAGTTTTGGACATCTATCATCGAAGAAGCTAGATAATCCAACTACGAGAGGGACGTAGTCCCCCCCCCCCCAAAAAAAAACAAAAAAAACACAACAACACCAGGGCTACTACTCTAATTACTTTATGACTGAGAAACTGTGTTTGGGCCTCAGATTCCCATACTTCATTAAGGAATTATGAGCTGGGTGGACAAGTTGATTTCAAGTGGGGGAAAGACAGTCTTGTAATTACATCTGGAATGCACTCTACCTGGGACTACCTTCAAAAGTTTGAGCTAGTTCAAAATACAATACCCTAGCTGTTCGAAAATACTTGCTGATAGAAACACATTACACCTGTGTTTTGGTCCTTTGTATTGCCTTTCTATTGGCTTCTGAGTGCAATTTAAATGACAATTTTGACCTTTGAAGTCCTAGATGACTTCTGTATGAAGTATTCCAGGACAATCAACTTCAACCCATCTCAATCTGCCTGATATACAGTAGGTGTCCCAGAAGAAGTTGCTTGTGGCCCCTGTGCAACTAGCAGATAATTCACAAATATTTTTCCAGATGTATTATATGTTATGAATATTATACCATAGATATGTACTTGATAATTTACTGGATCTAAGCTGTGAAAAGATCCCAGCTTCTGTAGATCTGGTGCTAATTCTTGTGTTCAGTGTTCAGTTCAGCCCTTTCCAGCCACTGGTAGGATTACCAATGCCAGCCAACATCTCCAGCATCTCTACATCCCATATAGGATCTTTCATTATCATGGCACTTCCTCTGCTTGATCTTTCAGCTGGTGCTTCCTCAGGCATTTTTTTCAGCCACTCATCTTTTGGTGTCATCTTACCAAGGCATTCCAGATGCTTTGGGTTTTATTCAGGATGGTGGCTTCAACACTCACAAGATTCTGCCCACCTTCTTTCTGGCTGATGTACAATTTCTGACTTGGGATGGATGTTCTGTACATTGTGAGGAACTTCTGGACTTTCACATCAGCAGCCTTCATGTCCTCCTTTGGCCAATTCATTATACTGACAGGGAATCTGATAACTGGTAGGGCATACACATCAATGACATGGAACTTGTACTCGTTAAACTGACTCTTCTGGACCTGCTTATCCTTTGTTGGTTCTTAGATGTTGCTAACTTCCTTCTCATCATGGTTCCCATGTGAGATATCAAGGTATTTGGGATTTCTTGGTATTTGAGGGATACTAACTTATTTTGGGATACCAAGGCATTTCAAGATGGTCTATATGTCTGCCACTGGTAGTTCCACCCTATCGGTCTTAGCTATTCTCTCTCTATTGACTAACATCTGGCCACACTTCTCTAGTCCAAATAAGATTCCAATCTGTGTGTGTATGTACTTGTATACATACATACATACATACATACATACATACATACATACATACATA